GGTAGGACCGACCCCCTGTGAAGGACCCGTGAAGGGGGGAACCCTTTCTTGAAGGGTTTGTCCTATCTTATTATAATCCCTATTAAGGGGAGGGGGGTTATTAATCATGGGTAGGGTTAGTTAGATTCCCAGGAGGAGAGAGCGAAGATCTGCCTGATAAGTTAGAACCATGCATTCAGTCATGCAATGCTCGGCCGAGCCCCTTCAGATCCGCCAGCAGTAGCGCCAAGAAACAATTGTAAAAGAAAGGGCTGTACAAGCCCAGGCTACCTTAGCTGACTGCAGACCCCTCCCACATGCTAAACTTCTAGCCTCTCTAATATACTGAATTGGAAGCCCAAAGAATTGGAAACCCTAAACCCTAAAATGGACCTAAAAGCCAGGCTTCAGTCGGCCCAGGCCACTACCCACGCAAAGCCCCAGGCGGTAGCCAGAGTGGCTAACAAAAAGCCGAGCCCCGCAAGGACGCACCAAAGAAGACCGATTGCTGAGACTTCCAGGGCCAGTGGCCTACATCTGTAAGACCCCAGCCACAATCCGTGGTTCAGCATGTAGGTGCCTGAGCTGTTTTGACAACAGTTCAGAAGATGATTTGAACTCCTGGTACCGAACAGTCCCATTAAATCCCCCAACATACTCTTGTAGTTTCCATGTGCTTTACCATTATCCCTATATTCCCTATTATAATCCCATTCTGAGAAAGCTGTTCTCAATAGCTGAAGCTGCTAAGAAGGGAGACGCCAGGAAGCCAAAAAAGCACCAAGCCCAGATTGTGGCTCAAAAAAAAGCCCAAGATACTTCTTACCGGCGCACCTGCATGACAGAGCGCTAACAGACCTTTCAGGGGTCAATTCAAAATGGCTTAACGTCAGGAGTTTGTCAGATAACTTCCTAAGCCAGTGTCTGCGGGAAAGGGTCAGGAGGGCGGGGAGTTGTTGGGCAACCCATGCAACCTTCCAAAGTCAGACCAAATATGGGCGTCATGACCAACAACTTAAAGCCCACCGGAACACTGCCACTGGTTCGCAGAAGCTCTTCAATCTCAAGGCGGAAAGGGCCGCACACGTATGCCGAAAACTCAGACAGGGAGCCGTACCTATGCTGTTTTCTAACCCCCAAAAATTAGGACCCTATGACTATCCTTTGATGGTTATCGGGTCCTGATTTGGGGGGTTGGGGTTACCAAATTCCTCTTATTATTTTCGAACCGTGTGACATTCCAACCTGTCTGTGTCAGGAAAAAGGGGCTTAGACGGCTAGCACACATACCCTGCGTGGTCCCACAAACCTTGGTATCCCTGAAGGAAACATGAATCATGACAATGATAACTTGCAAAAAACTGGTCCGAGTGCCAATGGATGATGGCATCATGGATGCAATCTCTGTCGAAATCGTTGCTGCAACCCACATTCGTCACATCAAAGTTGGCCAAGTGGAGTTTCAACTGTTCCTTGTTAAGCTCTTTCCTGAGCCGCTCTCACGTTGAGGTTGGGTATTGACCCACTCAGTAATAGCTGGATACTACTTAGTTCTATAATTGTATATAGCCCTTCCCATTGCCGCTGTTGTAAAATGTTCATGGGTGCAATACCCAGCCTAAACCCTAAACTCCAAGACCCCGTGACCCGTAAACCCTGCCATAAACCTCACATCCCTAAACCTGGCCCGTAAACCCCTAAACCCTAAACTCAAGTTGAAGGTTTGGACCCAAGGACGAATACCTAGAGAGTTTATGTGCACGAGGTTCCCCAGTAACCCCTCAATAATAAGGAATAAGGGTTTAGGGTCAAGGGTTCATAAGGAGACCCCAATTTAGGATTTACAATGAGACCCCAATTTAAGGTTTAGAGACTCACAAAAAAAGTGGAAAAAAAGGGTACTACTGCGGTACCTAGTTTATGGCATATGCAGCAAAGAGTTCTTTTTCGAAGAAGGAGCTTCGCCGAACGTGCACCCTCTTGAACCCCATCCTATATGATAAGACACCCTCCATCCCTAATGATACATACTCCCCGCCATTATAGACTGGTACGGGGAAATCGTATGTTTAGCGGGTGAGGGGTTATGCTTAAGGTGAGGGGATCTCATTTGCGGCACGCAGAGTTGTGGAACCCCAACAATCTATGCCCTGAACCCTAAACCTGCCTAAACCCTATACCAGGAGTTGTCCAGTTTCAACCACACTGCCCGCAACATGGCAGGGAAAGCTATCAGGAACCTTGGATTGGAAGTGGAAATCAATAAGGCTTTGTAGGGCTTAGGCTTAGGGTGCGGGAGTTACAGGGAATGGACAGGGTATGAAAACCAACCCCTGCGCTTTACAGGGACACCTAGGAGTTACCAGGACATATAAGCTAAAGTCTAAACTCCTAGTATCCCCCTTAGTAACCCCTATGATAGTCCCCTATATATTGCCCCCTTTAAGGAGTTTAGACTATAGTACATATAAGAGGACCAGAACGTACCAAGGTGTTTAAGCACCTTTCTCCTCACTCCAAGTAAGGTGCTTTCCCCAAAGCATCTCGGTAGCTGTTTTTGGTGGTTCAGGCTCAGGGGTTCTAGGGTTTAGGGTTCAGCTTTCTTGGGTGGCTGAACCAAGTACGATAGTATTCTCTTATGCAATGCCAAGACCCAAAGGAAGAGATAATCTTACTCTATGTTGGGGGCCATAGTATCACCACAAAAACAACATAGCTCCTACGTAGCTCCAGTTTCCATTTCATCTCTCATGTTCTTTTCCATCTGATTCTCCACTACTATGCTGATATCCCTGTATATCCCCATATATCCTAAAACCCTAAACCCTAAACCCTAAGCCCAATAAACTATGTGGGGGACCAGAATATGACAAAAAAAAAACTCATCTGGCATTCCAAGCCTGGAAGGGGTGGAAAAAAACATCGCTGAGCCAGAAACGTTGGGTTCCCCTACCCTTAATAAGAATACGTTAGAAGGACCCCCCCCTGTAATTGCGGTATAACAGGAATATAATAGGATCCTAATGGAGCCCTTTTTATCCCCTATAGCCACTATTGCTGGGTGGGGGTCCTCCTCAAGAATATGAGCAAAACAGAAAACAGGAGAAAAAAAAGAAAAGAGGTAATATCAACAATAATACTAACAAAATTGAGAAAGCTCATGGCCATACGGCCATACCTCTTTGGCGAAGAAACCCATGAATGGCAAAGACTTCAGGACGCAGCATACATGTAGTATAAGTCTGAGTGTTGTCGTACCTTCTCAAAGATCTCCTCAAAAACTACCCAAAACCCAAAGCCCGAAATCCTAAACCCCAAACCCAAAAAGAAGAGAGCTTAGCCCAAGCTACGTGGCAGGGAAGATCACAACCAATCGGAGGGAGCTGCCGCCCTCGGAACCCGTCCTGACCCATCATAGAGTTTGGGGCTCGGGGTTTAAGTAGAGTATATACAGGTTCAAGGCTTAGGTTTAGGGTTTAGGGCTTAAACAGAGAACATGCTCGAAGGCTTAGGGCTTAGGTTTGGGGTTCAGGGTTTTTCAAGACTTCAGGCTCGGGTTTAGGGTTTTTAGCGAATGTAATCCCTATATAACTCTATTATACTAATACTATGATAGGGTTATATAGGGATTATATTAGGTTATATTTGGTTTATAGTAGTTTGGGGTCTGGGGAAAGCGTTTGCAGATTGGGCTTCATATACTTACCAGATTACAAGATGATTGCGACTCAAGGGATGGTGATGCTGGCAGGCATGACTACTCGTAACAGTCTGGAGCACAGTTCAGGACAGGCACAAACAAAAAGCCGACTAACAGAAACGGGCATTGCAAAAATTCTCCCGGGCAGCACTGAAATCTTTTTCCGCAGCGGAACCCCTACAATCCTCCTGCGACTCCTGTGGATCCCCGTACCCTGAAACGACCAGATGTTGAGAAACTTCCAACTCGCAGTTTCCAAACATTCCCACTTTTCTGGGTGGGCCCCTAAAACCCCTTTTGAAAATATGCCTATATAGGGTCCCCTTTTAAAGCCATTTGGGAAATCAAAAACATCCCTACCCAGTTTTAGGAAGCCCCAGATACACCCCAAGCCCTATAGTCCCCCTTAAGTAGATAGAATATGGGGTATATGGGGATCTTAGTATAATATACCCAAAGCCATATTCTATCTACTTAAGGGGGACTATATACTCTAAAAACTGCTGTTTGTGCACCGGGCCTGAAGAGCCAGTAGACGCAGGCGAAAGCCTGCATGCACCTGGGTTGCTGTTCACGGCTTAGGCCACAGCCCCCCACCCTGTAACAGTCTATATGAGGGATCATATTCATTGGAGCTATATATAGCTATATTATGAATTCCAGCCAGCTGTTACATAGTGGAGGCAGCACCCAAGGCTTAGGGCTTCAGAATTTAAATTAAGTTTCAGACCATGCTGGGTGTCCGATGGAATGAGTGAGTGAGGGTCGACCTAAGGTGCCCTCCGGCCTACGGAAATGGGGCCCCTCAATCCGAGGGGGGGTATGACAGGGCAAGGTGCGCCACCCGAACCTCCATGGGCCCCGCCCCCCAAGCCAGGCGGCTTGGGTTGGAATTGGTCACTTGGCAAGACAGGGGTGTCAAATGGAAAAGGAAATGCAACTTGAAATGGAAATTGAGGCTTTAAAGGAAGTATATAGGGACTCACATTAGGAGCTGAATCTAAATTAGTCCTTTGTTTCCTTATGAGGGTAACTGAAATGACGTTCCTCAACAGCAACCCAGGCACAGGAGACACTGCAACACGAATGTCTCTGCGAGGATAGGCACTACAATGATCTTGCCTGTTGGGTTCCTTACTGATTCAGACACCACCGCAAATCAAATTCGGCTTAAACCCTTAGCCCTAAAAGAAACTGAACCCTTAATCGCGTGACTAAGACTCGAACCATTGCAAACTGACCATGGGCTTAGAGTCTAGGGTTTATGGTTTAGGGCCCTAAACCCTAAACCCTCCATTGGTATAGAACCCAGGTGAGACTCAGTTTTCGATAGGCTGCCAATTCGAAGACGCACCACAACCTCGCTAGGCGAATATAGGGCGTAAACTTACTGAGGGTTAAGGGTTTCACGGTTTAGGGTTTAGGCTTTAAGGGTTTAGGGTTTAGGGTTAGTATAGGATGATACTGCTTTATATCCTACAGTCAGTAAAAGCACACAACAGACCGGAACCAAGTAGCTACACTAGTTGGGTTTTTCTGTAGGGCTTATGGTTTGGGACCGGGTGTTTACATTTTGGACGCCGCAACCTCGACAAGTACGGGTTGCTCCACAAAACGTGCAGCTCTGCTGAAGCTGCGAGGTAATGTCCAATGCTTCTGATGCCCTGCTGCATCTTGGAGACATCCGTCTGATGGATGCACAGAAAGTCCAGAAAACAGATGTGTGACGGACCACATCGAAGATATGGAAAAAGCGCAGCTCCCACCCACGTCGCAAGGCCGCCTGAAAGCATGACCCAGCAACCAAGAGGAATGTGTTCATCAAAGTCGATCGCGCGGGCCTCGAGGGCTCTTGCTCCGGGCTGTGGCATACCCTATTAACTACCCTATAATCCCAGTTTCCATTTCATTTTCCATTTTCTTTTCCATTTGATTCTCCATTATTGGGGGTAATATTACCATATGCTTGGTTCGTACTTGTCCTACTGCTAACTTCTCACTGCGGTTGGCACATGTCAAACGTCCACAAAGACCACTCAAGAAGTAAGGCGCTGCACTTGTTTTGCTTACCCTTACAGCTACCCCGCTTCTGACCGCACGTACCCTATATGGCTACAAACAACTTTGCTACAGCCCTGCGCATGCTGCCGTGCGCATGAGCACCAGCCCTTGCAACGTGCGTTAATGTTCCACAAGACACCTTCGCGGCCTCCAGCCAATGCAATGGGTCTTCCACATCTATAACCCGAACCGAAGATGAGAGTTTTCCAAACAGAACGTCATGCACAGGGTTGATATGTCCCCACCTAAAGAAGCCTCCGAAACTCGAAACCAATGTTGGGAACTACTGGGGCCCCACGGAAAGCTATTTAGAACTATTGGGGCCCCTTTGGGGTCTGTCGCGGCTTTGTTGTGCCCTATGATACTGGGTACCATGTAAGGCCCCCTTCTTGAGCATGCCTAGACAAGGCCCCAAAATCCTGACGCCTGTGCATATGCGTAATTACAACATGGAAGTCCCTTGTACTTCCACTGGTGCCCATCAGCGAAGAGATCCAACAATTGAGCGAAGCACGTAAACATGATGTACTCTGAAAAAGCGCGTGCAATCCCAAATTCTTTGAATGGTTGCCTGTGAGCCCGAAGTCTCAACCTTGCGCCCTAGAACCCAAACCTGAAACCCTAAACCCAGAACAAGAACCTTCAGCATAAAACCCCCAAATCCAGATTCAAGGTTTAAACCTCAAACCCTCTTACACCTGGAGCTGAGGCGGATACCCTAAACCCCTAAACTCTTAAGATCTTCAACCCGACAGACCTCCCAGGAAGCGAAAAGAGGCAATAAACCAACCAGGCTAAGAATGAACCTGCACTGTCTGGGTTGCTGTTAAGGAACTTAAATTAAGTTACTACATTGGGGAAACCATATTAATAACTATACCCATTATGGTAACTTAATTTAAGTTCTTTAACAGCAACCCAGCCGTTGGTGAGGCAGAGTTTAGGATGTTGGGGCTTAGGGACCAGGATTCGCAGTTGAGGTGTTCGGGGCTTATAGCCCCCCTTAAGTAGATAGAATATGAGGTGTATGGGGATCTTATTACAGTATACCCAAGGCCATATTCTATCTACTTAAGGGGGATTATAAGTTTAGGGTGTAGGGTGTTGGGTTTAGGGCTTTCAGGGTTTTCAGGGCTTAGGCTTTGAGGTTGCGGGTTCAGGGCGTAGCGTTTGGAAGCCTGGGGAAACGTATCCGGCTCCCAAGCCTTCTACAAGCATTCACATCAGACTCATGGCGCGATTCAGGGATTCATGCAATCATCCATCCCTGCTTTCGCTGAGGGGACATGTCATGATCTTCCGGAGGCCCACGGGGACTACATGAGGGCTTTGTGCCACGAGTACGGCTTCCGCATACTTTCTAGGTCCCAGGCTACTTCAAATGAGCTATAGTCTGAACTCCTTAAAGGGGATTTTATGGGGGATTATATAGGTGAGTATTTTAGGGGTTGTTAAGGGGGATACCAGGAGTTTAGACTATATCTCAAATAAAGATGAGATTGAAGGCCCCTACCCGCACATAGTGAGTATTCCGTTTTTTGCATATTATAATCCTGGCAATATTTAGTAGGTATCTCCAAAAAAGAGGTTCCCCTCGCAAACCAACATCTTAGAATCCTCTTGATAAGGGTTCAGAAACAGGGAGTCCTCATATGCCTAGATCATATTTGAAGAAGGGGAAATGTGTACTTGGTAGTTTCTCGAAACCTTTTCCATCTAGTTTTTGACTGGCTCAAAAATGAGTAATATTGGGATAATATGAAAGAAAAAGGAAAATACTAATTCAAATGGATTATGAAGGGATTTTAGGGGTTAAATTAAAAACCCCATGATCTCAAACTAGACCCTAAAAGGCCCTAAACTCATTTAGAAACAGTATACTCTTCACACAGCAAGCCAGGAACGCGACTGTTGCGCCCAAGGCCCACGCAACAAGCAAGGTCGGCCAGCCGAAATGCAAGAGCAACGACAAGAATTTCCACCGTCCATGTGTCATCCATGTGTGCGATAAGAAGGCATCATACCTCCTGGGATCGTGGGGGAACGAGAAAATCGCGGTGCACGGGTGGCTTCCGCAATAATTTGAATTCTGCCGACACTGGGGCTTTATTTCGAAACACCTCCCTCATCCTTAGCCCCTCCACCCAAACCACGAATGCTTCTGTTATATGCTCTTTACCCGTGTGATGAAAGGACAATTTGGGGAAGAGTGGATGGATTTTTTAAGGCTTAGGCGTGCCTTTTCAATTAATCCTCTCTCTCTCTACTCTTCTTATTGTTCTTCTGCAGGCCATACCCCTGAGAGGTCTCTCTCCGGTCCCTAAATAAACCTACCGGCGGAATCTTGCACCACATGACATTGGGATCCTAAGTGGTGCAAGCTTCCCTACATCCACCTAGCAAGGCTGCTCTGAAGCTCCTGCCCTAAATTCGAGAACTGCATGCAAGACCCAGGTGCCCTAAACCCTAACCCCCAACCCTAAAGCAAGACCCAGCTGCGCTGTAGGTCTAGATGCGTGGATCAGCTGCGCACGCCGTGCCTCGCTTAAGGCCGATGGACTATACCGCCAGAGTCGGCCAGCTTGTCCTCAGCTGCTATAGGTTGGGTACTGTTCCGACTGATGAACAGATGGATAACTGTTATTATAAAGCTATATTATAGCGCCCTTAACATGGCTCCTACTATAAACTGATTCTGGGTGGGGGCCGGACCCAAGCTGTAGGGTTTAGGGTTTGAGTACACGAGGACTGTTGTGCAGCATGCAGGCTGGAACATTCTTAAAGGATTGTGCAAATGATTCAGGAGTTGATAAGGGTATCTTTTATACTGTTGCACTCCTCTAAACTTTTTTACAGACTGCCAGATACTGCCACCTGCTCCAGAACCTGATGGGTGGGAAGCAAATCTCGCCTGTCCAAACTTCTAGTGGTTCTGGGCTGCATCCCAGAAGCACAAGCGCAAGACCACATGAGCTATAGTCTAAACTCCTAGTATCCCCTCAGCATCCCCTATAGTAGTCCCCTATAATCTCCCGTTAAGGAATTAGAGTATAGCTCAAATGACTTTTGATTAAAACCATAAACCTTCAACCCTACACCCTTCGCCTACCCGGGACACCTTAAGTCAACCATTTGTACAAGAGCAGAAAGGGCTCGCAAAGTTGTGCGCAGCGATACCCCTCGCATCAAGTCTGGCTGCAGAAAACCACGCTCTGTCAGGTCAGTCGTCCTTGGTACACGAAGCAAGAATTAAGCAGGGATATTGCCAGACGCTAGTGTTATCGTAGCTACAAGACACTATCCTACAGGATGTTGCCTGGTCATGACTCGGGTCTCCCTACGCAAAAGCAAGAAGCAGCACCAGGGGGTTGGGTATCTTTCGTAGGCTGAGGCCCATTCGGGCGTTTCTTGAAGATGCTTGACGGAATGCTTTGTGGCGTGACAGCTCTACCAAACAAAAAAAAAGAAACCTGAAAAGCATCCTGTAAAGACAACATCCTTTCGAGAGAGGCCTTTCAGAACGTTGCCTGTCACTTTGGGGAAGGTCAGGACACGCGCAGGGTCTTCGGTTACACCGCAAAAAAATAAGTATTCCTCATTAGGTGGATCCCTACAAAGAGTCCCGTATTTTCAGGGTCAGCACGACTTCGTAAGCTACAAGCCATACAATAATCCCAGTTGTCCCCATTGTTAAGCCACTTACTACTTCCCCCTGACCCCTGAACCCGAAACAATACAGTAGCTTCCTTGATATTTTCCAAATTCGCCTACCTTCATACTGCAGGTTTTTGACCGTGAAAATGCACTCCAGCGCGGGCATAGATGAGGGAACAAGGGAATATAAGCCGTATAGGTCCTATGAATTCCCTGTATACTATACTCCTATATTCTAAACCCAAAATCCTAAACCCTAAACCCTATACTATATTCAAAGGCATAGGTTCTGGGCCGTTGTGGCCAAAGACGACGCCATACCAATTTGAGCCTCAACTTCTCTGGGTCTGTGACATCCCAGCCCCAAAGGGTTTAGGGTTTAGGAAGTAGGGATTTAAGGTTTAGGGTTTAAGGTATGTAAAAATTAGATCGCCTAGAAAGATGTGGGAACTTCTATACGGGTTGTGCAAGGTTATTATGGGTGTGCTACTGTGTAGGGATTATATAGGGTTAATATGGGTGTATATATATGTGTATAGTGGATCTGATCCCTGATATGTGCTGGACGAATTCAAAGATCTCCCTGAAGCAGTACCGTCCGTAGGTAGGTGTGCGCAGGGCAGCGTTCTCTCGTCTGAGCGTGTCCTGACCTCACACCATGGTTACCCAGATGATAATCGGAACCCTATAATCCCCCTTAAGTAGATAGAATATGGGGTATATGGGGATCTTTATATAATTTGCCCAAAGCCATATTCTATCTACTTTGAGGGGGGCTATAAACCCTAAACCCTTGCCCTCAACTCTACCGTGCTGTGCAGCTCTGTTCGGGTTGGTAGTCGCAAAAAAATGGAAGCCACTGTTTGGTGTTTAGTGCTTCGCAAATGGAAGAGAACATGGCAAACTACTAGATCAGTTGGGTATTTGGGGAAACTAAGGCCCAATAGATTGGGTACTGCCCCCATTAAAATATGCTGTAAATATTATAACCTTTACTATTACCCCTACGGTAGACTACTAGGTCACTAGGTGGGAGCAGTACAAGACTTAAAGAAAGGATCCCAGTATGAAATGGAATGCTGCTGCAGTCCCTATACCCTCAACCCTTTTTGCATCTGGACTCCCGGAGGCTCCTACACCCTAAACCCTGAAGTAGGGTCTAGGGTTTAGGGCTCAGGTTAAACCCTAAGCCCTAGACCACACGGTTTGAGGTTCCCAGTATGTTCCATTCCTTCATTCCTCAAAAGCCAGTACTGTAGGTCAGAGAAGAAAGTTCGTCAGATCCGCCCGAAGCCCAGGGTTGAGAGTTTAGGGTTTAGGGTTTGGGGTTTGGGGTTTGGGGTTTAGGGTTTAGGGTGCCTTTTGACTAGCGACGCCAATGAAAAATTGTATTTCTCGCGAGGAAGATGTGTTTCGCTCTGCATTTGGCAGCTTTGTGCGCAACGACGACAGCACGACAATATGCACAAGCTCAGTCAACGAATGTATTACTTGGATGCCATGAAATAGTGGTGTTGTGGCTTTTTGATGCGACAAAAGGAGTATTATTGTAGTCGTAATTAGTTACCCAAATTTACCCAATGTATAGGACTTCTTCAAGATGGTGGAGTTTCTGGAAATTCTCGAGGAATGCCTCTTAAACCTGATGCCGAAAGCCTTTAACCCGTAACCCTGAATCGTAGTTTCCATTTTCTTTGCGATTTCCTGAGTGCCAAGCCCCATACAGAATCCCCTACGTAATGGCGCCCATTTTCTTTTCCATTTCCGCCTCAGCCCTAAAACCTCGGGGATTCCACGTAAACCCTAGACCCGAAAACCTAAACCATAAATAGGGGATTCCCCTTAAACCCTAAACTAGGGGATTCCTCCTAAACCCTAGACCCCATACCCTGAACCACCCTAATAATCCCCTCCCCCTAATAAT